AAGAGACACAAAGAATAATTACAATTTTTAATGAACACTAATAGTACTGATTTGATCATCACATATTGTACACAAATACTGATAGTCACTCTGTACCCCCTAAACATGCATATAATCAATTATGTTTCAATTAAAAAAAATTTTAAATAAATAAAATTTAGTAAGTAGGCATTTGCAAATACAGAATCTGCTAATAATGAGGATTGACTGTATGTAGTATATTAAAGGTAACACATTATGAAGAAAAAATGAAGCTCTCTTGAGAGGCTAAAAAAAAGCAATCTTAGTTCCGAATCAATACATACGATGAGAGAAATCCAAACGGCTGCAAGTCATTCTTGTGAAAGGATTCTTGGGGCTTAACAGGCTTATTATATAGTTGTGAACCGTTTTGTCATGGAGAAGAAAAGAACGTTCTGAAAATATTTATTTGAATAACCATATTTTTACTCATGCTTTAAACCTGTGCTGTTCAGTATGGTCACTAGTCATACATGGCTATTTAAATTAAGTAAAATTTGAAATTCAGTTCCTCAGTCACGCTAGCTACATTTTGACAACTCAATGTCTACATGTGGCTAGTGGCTACCCTGCTGGACAACACAGAAATAAAATGTTTCCATTATCACTGAAAATTCTATTAGTGATGTTATAAACCATTAAGTCACCTTTAAAATGGGCAATCATAATTACCCTCCCTATAGATTATGAAACAAAGAAAACTTTATGCATTATTTTATGAAAAAGGCATACTAATATAATATGAACACTGTACCAAGTGAGGGCGAGACATTTTCACAAACGTAAGTCAATCCTTGTCTGCGGAAGTGCTCTTATACACTGTATTCCCAGAAACCTTGTGAAGCTACTGGCTTGCTGGATAATATACAGAGGTCAGTTTGGATGGGTATTCTATGACAAATAAGGAACAAACTCTTCTTTATTACATTTATCCTTTATTTGTTAATGATTCAATCTGTATGAGATGGTTTATATCATAAGTTTCCTTAATTTATATTTCCAAATGTGCAAAATAAATCATTTCCTTTAAAAAGAGACTGCCCAACTTCACAGCTTCGCAATTGAGGTACTTTAATGCCAAGTAAACACCATATGCCACAGGTGTTTCTAAAAAAATTTATGAACAAGAAGAATATGAGGCCAATATAAAATAAAATATACAAGTTATGTTTCTTATTCCCAGGCTCAACCATCATGAGTACAGGGAAGCCAAGCAACTCAAGAGGTGATGCAAGGATGCCTATGTGATCGATGTGCCACACTGAAGGACGTGTGCACAGAAGCGAAGACCTTTGACTCCTCCCATGAAGACACCATGCCAGGGCATGCCAGAACACATTGGAGCATTAGCCAGGTTGTACCTGCAAGCATGTCAGCTGCATCTGCAAGCACCTCTGCCATCAAACTTGCAGGGATCTTTTAAGGGTCTAAACTTACTTTGCTTCGGTTTCCTTTATCTCTTCAAACACTCCTTGCAGAGTTACCCAAGTATATCAGCTCATCAGTTTCACTCCCATTTTCTCTTCCCAATCTCCAATTTCCTCTTTTCCAATTATTCACAATGGACAAGGCAGAGCAAGATGGGGGGGGGAGTATTTCCTTACCCCCCCTTGCTCTGTCACCAAAAGCAAAAAAGATCTGCTGTTATTCTTTGAGATCATTAACTATTCTTAATCAGATTCTTAGAAAGACCATAGAACTATTTCCTAACAGAGGCTGAAAAAACTCACCTATACCAACATAGCTTGTTAGAGGTTTATACAATGGCTACAAGTTTTTATGTTATGACCCAGTTTTTCCCGCTTACCTTGGCTTTCCCATCCTGAGCTGACATATATCCAACACACATGCTCTCCGTCGTGTGGCTCCACAGAAATTCCACTGCCATGAAACAGAACACAAGTAGGCACATTCAGATCACAGATGGAAAATAAATCTTTGCTTTTTAATAGAACAGTTAAAGATAGCTTTATATTTCACACACTCAGTTCCCCACTTTCCATTTGCTCCTTCATAAATGTCAAGATGATTTAGCACTCAAAAGTGTGTAATGCCACTTACTGTGAAATGAAAAATGTATTTCTTTCTTGTCAAAACTTATGATTATTACATGTAAAATAAATGCTCTTCTGTTTGAAACTTGTAACATTAAACACACACATATATATACTCATACATACTGTACACGATGATTTAGCAAATGTAATTCCATAGCACAGTTCTTTTAAAATCCATTCACACATACACACACACACACACACAAACACACACACACACACACACACACACACACACACTAGGTATCGGTTTCTAAATATCATTCTCCACAAAAAGGTGGCAGGATTCCTTGAAGAAATGTCAGTTACAGAGCTGGAACAGAGAAAACATAAAATGAATCTGAAATATCTCATTGCGCCAGAAAGTAAGGAAATGCTCAATGAACAAAGAGGACTTATCAAAAGAACCCAGGGGTCAGCCTGAAGAGCCAAATCTGTGTCTAATAAATAGTGAGAGCAATGAATTATAACCAACAAACAAAACAAGAACCAATGAGCCCATACTGATCCAAACAAATAAATGAATAAACTAGAGAGAAGACAAAGCTCTTCCTTGCAGCAGAATGCCAACTAATAAACACAGAAGAAATGATAGAGTTAGAAAGTCATTACAGTTGCTAAAACTAGTGGGTGAAAATTTGAAGAGGGACAGGCTATTTACAACAGTCTCAAAGTAGCTCTCCACAAAATTCTTATTAAATACAAATGGGGAAAGTGTAAGTTCTCTGTAGAAAAACCTCACGGACTCCAATTTAACCAAATAATTAAAGCTAACATCACCAATTAAGGCACAAATCAACAAACACTATGTGCCTTTTGGTAAGATACCTAGAGACACAACACTTTCTGTGGTGATCCTGTCAAAAATGCATAACCAGAATTGAACAAGAAACCCAAATTAGCCTGATATAACAGCATTCTACTAAATAACTGGTTTGAACTCTGCAAAAATGTCAAGGTCAAAAAACACAAACAAAGTTGAGAAACTGTTCTTGTTTAAAGAATACATCACAACCAAATGTGATGTGTTATTCTGGATTATATCCTGGACTGGAGGATGGGGGGAGATATTATAAGAAACATTATTGAGACAACTGGTGGAGCTTGAAAAGGAACTATGGGTCAGACAGTAGTGTTGTATCAATATTAAATGCTATGATTTTGATAACCATTCTGTGATCATTTAGAAGAATGGCCTTGTTCTTAAGAAAAACACCCGAAGTATCAAGAATAAAGGAGCCTGATGTCTTCACTTTGCTCTCAAATAGTTGAAAAATAAATGCATGCGTTTAAGTGTGTGTGTGTGTGTGTGTGTGTGTGTAGAGGGAGGGAAGGAATGAGTGAATATAGAAAAACAAAGGGGGGAAAATGAAAACAATGGACAAATCTGGAAAAGGGAATCACAGTGTCCCTTGTACTATTCTTCCAACTTTTCTGTAAGTGTGAAATTAATTATATCTAAATAGAAAGTTATAAAAAGAAAAATTCAAACATACAGGGACACTCATAAAATTCTGTCACTTTCAACCACATACCATCCAAGTTCTGCATTTTTAAAGGCATTTTTGTTGTTGTTTTGATGTACTTCAACACAAATTTCAAAAGTCCCTGATAATAAAACTACACTGCTCAACACTAAATCCTCTCTGTCCCGGGCTATTCATCTGTTTATATCTTTGAGCTAATTAAGCTTGAACACAAGTGTTTGAGTTAAGACCCAACTGTGGGATCAGTGATCCTAGACTCTGAAGGCTTTGCCAGACATGTGGGGAAGAAAGAAGCAGTAAGGGGCAAAACTGAGTCCCTAAGATACATGGCTCATTCTCTCATCATGAATTAATTATCAAACCTGCCAACCTGCTCAACAGACGCTCTGCTGAAGAGTGCGGGAAAACAGCATCATGCCATGAAGCAAGTTCTCTTCACCAGATGTTTTTCTTCCACACACATATGCTTTGAACTTCAAAAATCCTGAAGTCCAGAGCAAGGTCTATGATTTCTAAATTGCCTAATAGAGCAAGGGCACTCAAGTCTTACTAAAGTTCCCTAGAGAAGTGACAATGACTTGCATTCAAATACAAAGTTGAGGCAAAAAAATTGTAAACTTCTAAAGTTATAACTTCTCCTTATGCCCCAAATGTTAAGGAGCAACTACACAGGAAGCAGCCAAGAAAAATACATGAAAATATAGTCAATATAATCAAGAAAGTGAAGAATAAAAATATTGCACTTCATGTTTCTTAAAAAGGCAATTTTAATGATTTCAAAAATGTAGCCTGCTTTCAGAAAACACTATATATATATAAAAATTTAGACAAATAAAAGTGGATAAATTAGGGTGCATTGATTGACTTCATTAAATAAATATTTTTTTATATTGAAGGGTTTTCAATATGGTTTCTAGATATAGAGTTTAGGAATTCTTAAAGAACATAACTCAATACCTAAAAATTCATTTTTCACTGTTTTTTGCTGTGACAAACATTTAATATCCCACCTTCCCCCAAAAACGATGCATTGTACTGACACATTATTTTTGAATACCAAAAATTCAAGTCTATGTATAGAGATCAGTTATCAGTTCAGGCTAGTTTGAGAAACTCAGAAAGAATTGTCTATGACTTAAATTATAGAATGTTTTTGAAAAGAAACTTTTTTTTACTTTTAGTGTATACATAATGCAAGTTAACAAATTATTTCTTGGTGGAAAACATCAGGGAAGCAGGAGAGGGAGGAACTGACATTGAGATTCTGTCACCTGCCAGGCCTTGTCTTCCATGTAGAACCAGCAAAGCCTAGATGGGGAACCTGAGTTTCAGAAAAGGAAAGAGGCATGGCTTAGGTAATTTTAGTAAGTGCACAAACTGAAATTCAGGGTGGACTCTTGGATCCCCAAACCTGTCTTCCATTGTTCTAGCACACTGAAATTTACTCAGCATAGATAACAAGGGTTTATAATTAGTATTACAAATCAAGAAGATTAAATTCCTTACAAACACTAAAAGACCACAAAACATCAAAAACATCAAACACAACTCTTAAAATATTTTAAATATCTCAGAGTTCCAGTCAAGACGGCAGAATAGACAGTCCCCAGTGTTACTCTCTCCCACAAATCAACCAATGTACAACTATAAAAATGCAACAACAGCCAAGCTGGGGCCACTAGAGCTCAGGGGAAGAGGAGGAGAGACCTACAGAGTTCATGAAGATGGGAGAAACCATGATGAGAGAAAGAAAAAGCTGCTCTGAGCACTTCAGGCCACGCTGTTCTAAGGCTGAAGCTGATGAGCGCATGGAGCAGGAGCTGGCAGAAACCACAGCTGTGACCTTCGGACAGAGTTGCTTGGAGGTGTCAGGGGAGAAGAGCCTTGGTGGCCCCCAGGAGAGCAAGTCCACTAATAGGGTTCCCATGGACCCATGCAGGAGCAAGGAACAGGAACAGCTGAAAAGGGGGAGCCATTCAGAGGCCAGTAAGTCATCGCAAGGGACCAGCGCAGGGACCGTTCCATGGAAAGTGTTTGGAGCATGGGCAGTAGGGGAGACGTGCCCACCAGGAGAACACTGGGACACAGCAAAGACAGCTGACCTGCCCCCCAATCAGCATAGGACCACTCAGAGGAGACTGGTCAGAAATGCAGAACTGCATGGGGTGCAGTTTGATGAAAAAAGTTAGGCCCAGATCAGAGTTTCTACACAATCCAAGTGCACAAGGTCTCTGGAGAGCCGGAAGTACCTATAAGTTCAACCATTAAGCCCTGAGCTACACAAAAAGCCTTCCATTAGGGAAACAGCAGCAAAGCAGCAATTTATCTCAACCACACAGCTCAAGTACTGGTTCCCACAGGAAGTTCCTCCATTTTAGAAGTAAGCAAAGGACAAAAAATTAGTTCCAGCCCAGGTACACTGTCAGCTCCTTGGGGACACCAAGGGACCTGAGGCATGGATCCGGGGATCGGACCCCCGACTCACATCCAGGCACACCACCAGTGCCTTGGGGCCAGCCTGGGAACCTGAGGCTTGAAGCTGGGGACCAGACCCAACTCCCACATCCAGGCACACTGCCAGCGCCTCAGGGCCTGCCCAGGGGCTCAGGGTATGAAGCCAGGGACTGGACTCCCCACCCACAACCAGGCACACCACCAGCACCTTGGGGCCCCACCCAAGGGCCCGGGGCATGGAGCTGGCGACCAGACTTCCCTGCCAGCAACTAGGCACACTGCTAGCACCTTGAGGCCCTGCCAGGGGGCCTGGGGCATAGAGCCAGGGACTGGACCCTCCTGCCTGCAACCAGGCACACCACTAGCACCTCGGGGCTCCACCTGGAGGCCTGGGGCATCGAGCTGGGGAACGGACCCCCCCACACAACCAGGCACACCACCAGCACCAAGGAGCATGCCCAAAACATCACATATATATGGGTGGCCCAGCACAGCCACTGCAGTAACCACAGCTGCCGCATAAAATTAGCTAGACGTCACAATCACCATGCAGATGGTCCACCAGCCACTGGAGTGCATCAACACAAGGAAAGTCACCAGCAGAGACCAAAGAAAAGAAGATGACATCTCTCTCTACAAAGCCCATTCCAGAGTGACAGAAGAAGCATCTGCTCTATGATAATATTGGGGAACCTGAACACAGCATTGGATAGATCATCTAGGCAACAAATCAACAACATAATCATTACTCTTTCAGAGGGAAAGAAGAAATCGAAGGTTATCAGTGGTGGGAAGGGGGAGGAAAAGGGGGATAGGGAGAGATTGGACAAGGGGCCTAAAGAATAAGTACAATTTGTAATAATATACTTTTAGTAATATTGACTTAATCAACATATGTCAACATTGTATCCCAAAAATATGT